ACCCGCGTGCCCTCGCAGCGGGGGACCCCACACTGCTCCGAAACGCGTTCGGAGACGGGGGGCCGCGCGGGAGCCTCAGTCTGGGATCCGAGCCCCTTCCTTGGCGCGCCCCGGGGACCCTCTCCCGGTTCCCTGCGGAGTCCCAGAGGCCTCCCTCCTCCGCAGCGCGCGGCTCTCGGCGGCTCGCGTCTCCGAGACCCCACCCGCAGCCCTCCGAAGGCGTCCCCCGCTCTTCGGGGCGGGTAATTACCCTCCGCTCGCCTGTTCTCGCTTGTTTCAAGTGTGTTTTCTAAATGTTTTCTATTAGATTATGTTCGTTCATTCCCCCTCCAACCTTATCTCCTTCTGTCTCTTCTCTCTTTGCCCGTCACACTCGATTTAGGCACGAGTTTATCTGGCAAACAGTTTGCCGACTCTGTTTATTTACCGTGGGTTCTGGGGCTGCGAGCGCGCGCGCGCCAGGGTTCGCCTTTGTAATAGTTATCTCATTGTTGTTCTTCGTTAGTCCCAGCTCCCTCCGCCCCTCTCTCGTCTTCGGTTGGGGGGAGTAGAGGAAAGACAGGGGGAGTCTTGTCAGCCCAGTGTGGGTTCGCCCCTCGCCCAGGGCCCCCTTCGCCGGGGTAGATCCCCGCTTACCCCGCGCGCCCCCTCTCCGCTCCCTCCATCCCCCCCACCGCCCCGGCGCGGCGCAGCCCTCGCCCCCTCCCTCTCCCCCTCCGGTCTCACTGAATATCCGCCGCCGAGCGCTGCCTAAAGCCGGGGAATTGCCTGACACCCTCCCATCTTCCTCCGAGCCCCCATTATGCGAAGCTGATCCCACTCTGAACAGCCTCAAATCCCGCCTGGACTCTGTTTGATTAGATTGCCAACCCGGGGTAATCCTTTGATTTGGTGGAGTGTCAATTACCTTTCTCTAAACACACATTTACAGAGGAGGGAACTTGTTGGTTTAAATCAATGCAGATTGTTTCTTGATAAATGGACTCTCTTCGACCCCTCCCTCGCTCGCGCTTCCAGGGGCCCCTCTCCCTGGGGGCCCCTCCCCTCCCCTTTCCCCTTCTCGCCTATCCAGTAAACAATGCCCCTTCCAGGTGTGAAGCCGAAAAAGCCGCGTGGGCTGAGGGGAGCCCTGCCCCCCTCCCCCTATTCATTCGCTCCCCCGGAGCCTAATTAAATTTGGCAGGTTCTTGTACACACAATCAAAACAGCTTCCTCCGGTGTAGCAAACGACCGAAAACCGCATTAGCAGCTATCGCTGCTGCCAAATTAAATTGTTTCCCACCTCCTTTTACAAGTGTCTAAAACCGAGACTTCGGGCTCTCCCCTCCTTCCTGCCTTCTCCGTCATTTCTCACCCCACACCTGTAAGTTCGCTGCTTTAAAAATGAATTAAGGAAAAACGCAAAGAAATACAAATCTGCCTCTCACACACACCCTTGGCCCCCACTTCAGATGTCAACAGATTCTCAGATGGACTTTGCCCCTTCTCCCCGGGAGAATGCACACTCTTCTTTTTAATCTTGTGACTTTTCCCCTTATTTCATATTAATTGTGACCCAGATGGGCTTTCTACCCTAGAGACCAACTGGGTCTGATTTGGTCAGTTTCAGCCTAAACTTGTCAAATGCAAGAGGCCTCTTACTGATTATTAGTTGTTACTGTTTTTCTAAATTATTTCTTCACACTCACTCCCTCAGCTCTCACAGAAGAACGGTTTAACTCTGCAAACCCCTATCAAATTTCCCACAAGCATCTCCCTGGACTCAGGTTGGGAAAATCTTTTTCTTTCCCCATCCCTCCTCAAAGCCTTTCCCAGGCCGGTTCCTGCCTGGGTCTGCCCTGATTCTCCTCGGAGAAGGGGTGAGGAGGACAGAGGCCAAGTGGCTGAGGGCGAGGAACGTTTCCAGGTGTGCTGAGTGTGGCCGGAGCTCCTACCCGCAGTGGTCTGAGAATTCTCACAACCAACAATCCTAATAACTCAGTCTTAACAAGGATAAGAGCAAAAAAAAAAAAAAAATATGAACAGCCTCATGAATATCAGCCCAAGGGGAGCAGGAGTGAGCTGTTCAGAGATGAAAGTGCACAGAAATAAAAGCTCAATTTAATCTGCTTTAAAACCCTTCAACTTAACGTTTGTGCTTCAAACTCTGAGAGTGAGGACTGATTGCGGATAAATAGTTTCTTACCATGCCTGGAAGCTATTACACCCCTCTCCAACACAGTTTCCTATTCAGCAGTCCCAGTTTTCATTACCAGCTCTAATAAGTCTTAACATTATTAAATGCCAAGCGGACGATAGGAAAAAACGGACTCAGGGAGGGATCTCTCTTTAGCGCTTAAAGAGGAGAGCTCTTAAACCCCTTCTTGGGCGACTCCCCGCCATGAGAGGGGCGACCCCCGGAGAAAGCATTTGTCAAGAGCAAGAAGCCAAAACAAAGTTTGTGGGTGTGCACCCTCCCCCTGCTCTGCCCGAGGGGATCTCTGCCTCTCCCCACCTGGCCCACGCGGGTGGAAGCTGGGAGGTCTTTTCACCTTTAACTTGGCCATGAAACTGACACCTGGGGCCTGGGAGAGAGATGAGAGTTTCCAACTGGGTGGTTCACCAGAATGCCAGTCACTGGCCAAGGTACTCGCATCCAGAGCTGACAGATACCGTTTGTCCCCAGATGCAAGGACAGCCCCTCTCCCTTCCCAACTCTCACATCATCCATCCTGCCAGCCTGCGATCACACCACACATCCACGCAGACCCCCACGATTCCGTTCCAAAGTCTGGTGGGCAGACAGCCACACTGAGAGACACATGCACTTACAGGGCCATCCAGCGCCCAGCCACAGGGCTCCACACACCCCAAGCCACTCGGCTTTCTGGACGCCCGGCCCACCGCTTTCATTTCATTTCTGCAACTCCGCTCCTAGACTCCCAGAAGCGCCAGTGCTCTGCAACCGCCAGCCTCCTACTGAAGCCCTTGGGGACCTGGAGCTTCCCGGTTCCACTCAGGGAAAACCTCTGTTCAGCGAAACTGCTTGTCCGCTGGTTCTGTAAGCCCAGGTCAGCACTAGAAACCCCTGGATTCCTTTGAGCCAAAGGCATCGTCAGACCGGACTTGCTACCCTTTCTTTCTTTCTCTTCTGTCTCAGGAGAAATGCATCTGTTGTGCTTCCTCACAGACTGAATTGGACATATCTGTGCCACACACACACACACACACACACACACACACACTTAAAAGTCTCTCCGAACAAAACCAAACCTCTTCTTTCCTCCCAGGGTACCTCTCAGAAGATGCATCTGCAGTGCTGTATTTGACCAGGAAAGATTATTCGAGTTCTCTGTCCCCTCCCAGCCCCCCACAAAGGAAGTCCAATTAAGTCCCTTTCTAGTCCAAACTGAAACATGGAGTGGGTCCCCACGCAGGGATCCCAGACTGCCTCTGCCCAGCCAGGGCCTCCTTGGCATGCAGGTCCCCCCCCCCCCCCCGCCGCCTGCAGACCCCAGGCCCTCCGCAGGCTCCGCACAGCAGGGTGCCGGGCCCAGCCCGCTTCCTTTCTTTCCTGCCCTTTTGTCCCGGTGGGACTGGGCTCTACTAGGGGCCCTGAATGTCAATAGCCCGCCCCTTCCCCAGCCCCAGCCTGCTCTCACACTGGGCTGCCCCTGCTCCCCCCCTCCCCCCTTAGACCAGGCCTGTGGGGGCTGGGCCTGGCTGGGACTTGTCTTTGGAAGCCAGCTTTGTCCGTGAAGTTCATCTTCAAGGTTGGGAGAGACTACTGAAAACAGAGGGAGACCCGTGGAGAAGTCCCAGGGAGGCGAGGAGAGGCGGACCTCAATAACCCTCTGGAAGGAAACTCAAACAACTGTGCGCTTGAACAAGTTTCGGGGTTCAAGACACTCCTCCCCCATTTTTTCCCAAGCCACTTTTATTTGGAGGTTATAATGGCCATTGCCTTTCCTGTTTGCCTGCTGCCTCCCTGCGCTGTGTGTCTGGGGGTTAGCTTCTTTCCCTGGTCCATCTTTGTGACTTTGGGTCTTGCGTTTCTATTTCTTTTTCCACGACCACCCCCCCCCCCCCCAAACACACTGACCAAGTCTCAAAGAGACCTGTGGAGGCAGCGGTGATGGGGAAGGACTTTCCTTTCTCCTGAAACTAACCCGTCAGTAAACAAAAGCACACCGCCCCCCCGCCCCCTTCCTGGGCGTGCAGGCGCTTGGAAGAGAAATGCCTTCCCTAGCTCATCTCCAAAACGGCAGGGCTCAGACTCCAGCCCCGCTAAAAGCGGGGAGAGGGCGTGGTGGAACCCGAAACTCTCCCTCCCACGGAGACCCCCCCCCCCACACCAGGCATCTGGGAGCTTGGCCTCCACCCCTGGGCCCTCTGGCGCGTGCCCGAGAGGAAAGCGCCTTAAAAATGTACGCTTCTGCCTCCGCGCTGTCTGTGCGGCCCTGGCGTCGCGGGTCGGAGAGTGAGGCGGCGGCCCACGCGGCTCGCGCTAATTTTTATTGATTGCAGCGGTCAGTCAACTGTCAGGCGGGGTTTCAAGGGACCGTTTAAAGAGCGTGTGCGGGTCTGGTTAACAAATTCATTTAGGGAGCCGCGGGCCGGCTCCTCCTTCTTCGCCCCCCGCCCCTTTGCCCAAGTTTCCTATAAATAATAGATCGACACCGGGACTGGCAGCCAAAATGCCGGCCCCGGAGGACGCACGGCCCGGAGCCCTCGGCTGGAGCGGGCGCGCCAGGGCGCGCGGTTCGCCGCCCCCGGAGCCCCCACGCGCTGCCGGGTCCCCGGGGACGCAGAGGCCGGCTGGACCCCGCTCTGCCGCGCACCGGCGTCGCGGGAGCCGCTCCCAGCCCGGCCGGGGGGCGCGCCGAGGGGGCGCTCCCCACACACCCCGACAGGTTCTCGTTCCGCCCGCCGGCGCGGTGGGACAGCGCCGCCACTGGCCCGCACTCAGGCGCAGGAGGAGCCCCGCAGGCTCGGGCGGCCCCGGCGGGGCGGCCCCCTACCTTTGTCGCCCAGGATGCCGTCGATGCTGTGCTTGGCTTTCTTCTCGCCGTCCTCCTCCTTCTTATCCGCCTCGTCCTCCTCCTCCTTCTTCCCGAACTTGATTCTGAGCACTCGGCTAATCGAACTCACTAAACCTCAGAAATTCAAAGGCAAAAGAGCGGGTATAAGTCGTTGGGGCCCTGGGAGAAGTCAGGAAGCGCGTTTCCCCTCTAAACACACACTCAGGGGGAGTCACACCCACCCCACCCCTATCGCAGGCAAACACCTAGGCTTATTGGGAGGCGCAGGTACTGTCACCCACACGGAGACTCCCCGGGGGCAGGGCTCCCCAAGGCCGTGGCGGAGGCTCCCACCCAGAGCCTCCCTATCACGTCTCTGCACTATCACATACCCTCAGTCAGTCAGTGAAAGGCACTCAGTCGTGTCCGACTCTTTGCGGCCCGATGGACTATACAGTCCATGGAATTCTCCAGGCCAGAATACTGGAGTGGGTAGCCTTTCCCTTCTCCAGGGGATCTTCCCAGCTCAGGGATCGAACCCAGGTCTCACGCGTCATGGGCAGATTCTTTAGCAGCTGAGCCGCCAGGGAAGCCCAAGAATACCGGAGTGGGTAGCCTGTCCCTTCTCCTAGATGCACTCATACCCAGCCCACCCCCAGGACCTCCCGGAGCCCCTCCAGCCGCTGGCTGCTCCCCACACTCGCAGCCCCGCAGCCTGAATGCTCAGGTACACACACGTGTACACCCGGGGCACTTTCCCCCCCGCCGGCAGCAAGCTCCAGGGCCTCCACGTTCGGGACCCACTGGGGGCCGGTGGCAGCAACAGCACAGAAATGGTGACTTGCAGAAAGAAGTCCAGGGAGCTTGTGGCCTGCCCTTCTCGGCTGGACTCACCTCCGTGGGCCATTCTCTGCGGGCCGCCAAGGGAACTTCCCTTGTCACCCGACTCTGTAACTTTCTGCTCAACTCCCTGCTCCCCTCCCTCCCTCTCCCGGCCCTCCTCCCTTCCTTCCCCTCCTCTCTCCTTTCCTAACTTCTTTTCCTCCCTTCCTCCCTGCTCCCGTCTTCCTTACGGTTTTAATTCCCTCCAGTGCCCTCGCCGCCTTTGCACTCTGGCGCTTTTTCTCCTAACTTTTTCTCCAAGTTCCTCGTCATCCATCATCTCCTCTCGGCTCCCAGCTCCAGCCCCACACGACCCAAGCCCTGGCCCTGGTGACTGGGAAAAAGGACACGCAGGCTGAGGACTCGGGGCAGCCCTGCTGGCTCAGCTGCCTTCTCACCTGAGGGCACGGTGCTGCGGTCACAGTGCCCGTCCTTCAGCAGCCGGTCTCGGATCTCCCAGCTAAACATGCCTGGGTTTTCCCTCTTGTACTCTTCGATCTTTTTCTCCACGTCCGGAGTCGCCACCTGCTTCAGAGGTGGAGGTGGGAGAGTCGGAGTGGAAAGATGGGGTGGGGGGAGGGAGACACTTTTAATATCAACCTCCCAGGAGCCCCGGGGCCAGGCTGATGGCTCTGGTCACCCTGCCTCCATTCTGAGACTGGCTTCATCCTTTGCAGAAACCTGTTCCTGGCTCCCAGGAAGGCAGCTGGGGCTGGGGACTGTGCAACAGGGTAGTGATAGGTAATAAACTAGAAACCTAATTAGGATTCCGCCACCCCCCCCCCCAACTATTCCAGGCAAGACTGAAGGAAGATTTCCCTCATCTGGGATGGCAACGGGGTTCTGGGCAGATGTAGGGACAACATAGGCATGACTCAATGGCCTGTTGGGCAATCTGGACCCCAGTTATCCCCATCCCTGAGAAATTCAAATAATGGAGGAGGTCTGGGCTTGAGGACCCTCTTCCACTGTACTGCCCATAGGTAGCATGTAGACTCCCTACTGCTACTGGATGACACAGGGTAGAGTGGGGCTCCAGCCAGGACCCCCAGCCACGGGAAGGCTGGCTGTCAGCTCTGCGGCAAAGACACTCACTCTGGGCTTGCTGCCGCCGATGGCCCCAGGCCGGATGGACCCGGTCTCCTGGTAGCGGCAGAGGATCTTGGAGACGCAGCCGTGGGAGACACGCAGCTGGCGGGAGATGACACAGGGCCGGATGCCGTGGTGGGCCATCTCGACAATCTTGTGGCGGATGTGGTTTGGGAGGGGTCGCCCATTGATGAAGACCCCACCCAGCTGATTGACCCGGCCTTGGCCAAGTGGAGTCGACACTGGAGAGGGAAGGGGGAGATGAGGAAAAAGAGAGACCCAGGGTGAGGATGAGGATACGACACTGAGTTCTGCCCTTTGGACTTCAGTTTTGTTTGAGCCCCAAGACCCCTGTAAGCAGATCTCTGCCCCCCATATTTGGAGTTGTGGCAGTTCAGATGTCAAGGGGAAAGCTGCCATGAAGTCAAGGGAAGGCCCGGCAAGGATGGGGAGAGTGGTCACGGCCGGCTGCCAGAGTCCTCCCAGATGCTGCCTGTCCCCAGTCCTGCTGCACGAGGGGTGAGGAGGACACACCTGGGGCGGGGGGGCGGTGTCTGAGAAGGGGAGGGAGAGACACAGAGGGGAGAGGGGAGAGCCCAGAGACCATGGAGCCTGGGGACTCTGGAACCGATCCCTCCCTGGGCCTCCGGCAGCTTGGGTGGAGGGTCTGCTTGCCTCCTAGAGAGGCTGATAACGGGTGCAGTGGGGCCCATTGGGTCGGTTCGATGCTCTGAGTGGTCAAGTCTGATCCACTGGATGTCGGCCCTGGAAAGGCTGGTTGATTACTAGTATTTACAGCCCCAGCTTGTGCGGAACAGTCCTACCCATCACTGGATGGCCGAGGCGAAGCAGAGGGGCCGGCAGAGGGGCCTGCGATAGAAAGCCGCTGGCTGCTGTCCCCGGGGGCTCCTGGCTGCCCCCAGAGGGACTCCACTTCCTTCTAACCCCTCTCGCAGTTCAGATTTCGTTTGGGGATAATTTGGGGGTGATCTGCTCCACTAGCAGCAAGCTCCTAAATCAAATACTCATTTGGCCTCAGACACCTATGAACTGTCCCTGCAGGTTCGGAGAGGCCGGTGCACAGATGGGCCAGAGTCCCTTCTGGGAACCAGGAAGACAGAAGCGGTTCCTCGGTGTGAGCCGGGGAGGGGAGCACGCGGAGGAGGATTTAATGCAGAGTCCACACAATTTCTTCCCAGAAGGTTGGGGGTGGGGGGGGACACCCGATGCACTAATCCAGCCTCGATCCCCGCAATTTGGGGACTCGGCGGTTGCGGAGATCTGGTAGATTAGAACGATTTCACAGCCCCCGGGAGTGGAGGGAGCTGGCAGTATAATTGGAAGAAAGGAGGCGAGCAGAGGCTCGGTGGCTGAGCTGTTCTTACCGCCTCCTCCCTTCGCTCTGCCGGTCCCCCCCCCACCACCATGGAAAAGTGGGTGCCTGAAGCCACCCTCGGATTTAATCAGAAATCGTGCGTCGCCAAGTCAGAGTGACTCGGTCTCCGTGGCGGGATATGCCGTTAGCGCTGGAGAGCTCTCGAGCGCCCAACTTTATATTCAAGAGCCTCTTTAGCGACCAGCACTCGGCTCTCCTCAGTATTCTCCGTCATGTTGGGCAAATATTGTCCTAATCCGCTGCGCGGCCACGGCCGCCTGTTTTACTTGCATTCGCTACAAGAGAGCGCTGCGACAAATCCCCGGGCCGGCGCGCTCTCCCGCCTGCGTGGCTGCTCGCGCGCACTTGATCACGGAGCCGCTCTCCTCGCCGCGGTCTAATTCCGGGCCCCGCGCCGTCTAGCTGCCGGAGGGACACCCCCCTCCGCAGACCTTAGGCTGCCTGCCCGTCCTTCCCCTCCTTGCCTTGTTTCCCTTCCATGCGCACAAGTGGCTCACACAATTATAAGAAGACTAATTTTTTTAAAAAAGTCGCACCTATCTCTAACCACGTCTGACATCCTGGGCTACCTACCCCCAGAAGCCCAGGGATCCCTCAGTTGACAGGTCGAAGGCCTAATATTAGTTTAAAAAGAAAAGAAAGCAAAACAAAACCGCAGGAGATAGTCTCGGTGCGCTTCAGCCCTTGCTGGAGCCGAGAACCGGTTCAGCCCGCCAGTCCCTCCGGCTCATCCCCGGTGCTGTGTGTTTAGGGAGGACACCTTAGAAAACTAACACTTTCCCCTTGTCTGGACATTTCCGTGCCCTCTCGCCGTCGTGAGGTCTCTCCCGAGGGATTTCTAGAGTTCGGAAGCCCGAGTGCAAAGTTTCTGGGGGGCGGAAATCGTTACTGTTCATTACTTCAGCCTCGAAGTAATTTTTTTTGTTTGTTTCCAGCCTCGAAGGCGAGGTCCTAGTTAAGACATATAAAACATCACACACTGTTGGTATTTCGAAATAAAAGGGATCGTTAAACCATCCCGGGGTGAAAAGAACAATTCAAAACAAGAGTAGAAAGCCCCGTAGCTGGCCGAACACGGGAGAGCAGAGAAAGTATTAGGTGGAAAGTATCTGAAAATAGTGGAATGAGTTGAGATCCACTAGGACTTGAAATTGACCAGGACTCGAGATCGCCTCGGAGTTCAGCCTGGCGGGGAAAGGCCGGAATCCAGGACCTGTGACGCTGGGGCCGCCGGTCGGTGAAACCCACGCGAAAACGGACAAGTGTGGGTCCCCAGAAACTTCCTGGGTCGGGCGCCGGGACTCGGACCCAAAAGGGAAGGGAACCCCCCGGCTCCCCCCGTGCTGGTGCCACCGCCGCCCCGCGAAGATTGTCATCTCTCCGAGGGCTCGGAGGCCCCGGCGGAGGAGGGAGGCCACCCCGGGCGCTCTTACCTTCCAGGGGAAACCCCGTGCGCGGGTAGTTCTGCCCCGGAGCCGGCCGCACCATCCTGGGTACCGTGCCGGGAAGCGCCGCCATTCTTCGCGCACGCCGGCGGCGGGTCCCGAGTCGGCAAAAATCGCTTCCCGTCCGCTCCCCTTCCCCCTGCCGCGATCTCTTTCTTTCCTCTTCTTCTTCTTCGCCTCCTTTTTTTTTTAAACCTCCTCCCCCTCCCCTCGGCAAACACTCCCCACCCCCCACCCCCGGCAGCAGCCGCTCGCGTCCAGAAGCTGGGGAGGGCGGGGTGGGGGTGAGGTTGGGGGGCGGAGGTCGGGAGGCTGGGGAAAGAGGGGAGGTGGCGACGAGGAAGTTCAAACAAACGAACACAGCCGCCCCGAGGCCTCCTCTGCCCGCCCCGCTCGGCCAGAAGTTGTGCGGGCGGATGCGCGGGGCAGCAGCGGGGGCCGTGGACCGGACGCCGAGCGAGGCTGCCGGGGGTGGCGGGGGGATCGCGGCCGGAGTCCGGGCCCCCAGCCTCGGACTGGCGAGGGCCGCGCTCCCGCGCTGCGGGCCAAAGTTTCTGAGCCGAGCGGCTGCGGACTGGATTCCTGTTTCTGTATTTATTTATATATTTATCCTCTCGCTCCCCCGCCCTCTCCTCTCCGGCTCTTCTCCACGCCTTCTTTCTCCGACCACACTCGCTCCTCGCGGACACGCCAGCTTTCACAGTCCCGCCCCCCCCCCACCCCGAAGATCTGGGGAGGGAAGAAGGAACCTCTCGGGTTTCGGGGGCCGGAGGGGGGCGATAAGGGGGTGGCGGGGTCGGGGGAGACGAGGGGAGGCGAGGGGCGAGCGATCCGCTGGGTAAGTTGCGCAGAAGTGCTGGCTGGAGCGCGCGCGGGAGGAGGCGGCGGCGAGTGAGACGTGATGGGTTCGGACTTTTCTTTTATTCATGAGCAGGGCAGGGGGCCAGGGCGAAAGGCAGCCGAGGACCAATAACGAAGAAATCTTCTACGAATTTATCCCCCCCCCCCCCCCCGTTTAAGCCTCGACTCACCTTGCTTTGGGGGGAGCATCTGAACCGCCCGTTAAAACAGAGGGAGCAAAAGGCGGGGGCGTGGTGGGGGCTGGGGGGGCGAGGGAGAAGGGGAGGCCCCCCCCAGTCCCGGTGTCTTCCCCTGGCGGATGGGCCGGGTCGGCAGAGCCCCCAGTCCCCCGGTCGCCCACAGCCCGCCTCTACAGTCCGGCTGCATGGGAATGCCTGCCTCCCGTCGGTGGCTGCCTGGAATTCTCGCCTCAGCTCTAGCCTCCCAGAGTCGGAGCCCAGCTGGATCTCACATCTTCTCCCTGGTATCACTCACACACTGCCATTTATGCCGTTGGGGTCCACCTGGAATTGGCCTAGGTGACCTGGGGGTGGGGGGATGACTTTCTTGGCGAAGCTGCCTCCAGCCCCGGTGTCCCATTCTTGCCTGGCCTCCTACAGCTCTGGGAAGCCCAGAAGGATGGCGGGGTGTGGGGCTCAGAAAGCGCTCTGCTCAGTGTTAGGGACCCACTCCCTCCTCCCCTCCCTCACCCACCTCCAGTCAGGATTAAACTCCTGCCCCTCTCCAGCTCACTCCCAGAAGCCCTCTCCAGCAGGTACTTCGCTGCCCTGAGTGGACCCGCAAGTTGGTGCCCAGGATCTGGGGGTCCAAAGGGCTGGCAATTGGGAATGGGGGTACCCCCTGAGCACCCCAGTTCAGAAGTCCTCTGCTGGTGGGGGGAGGGAGCCCCAGTTAATCATTGAGTTGTGGGTGGGAGGTCCCGCCTTTCTGCGCCCTCGCCACCTTCCCCAGGGCTGGAATGACCGGACCCTTCTTCCAGGGGGATGCCGAATCCTAGGGGCGAAACGCCCTCCCAGCGGGGCAGGACGCCACGACTGCGGGTCTTTTGTCTCCCCCGAGAAAGAGTGTCTCCAGCCCTGCGCTGGAGGCCAGATACAATAAAATAAACCCATCCCCCAAACTCGCCCCCACCCCCAGCCTGCCCCCTGCCCGCCCTCTCCCCGTGCTGGGGTCAGCCCCCTCCAGGCCTGGCCTGGGAGCCTCCTCAGGCTGGCCCCGGGCACCCCCTCCCCTCCCCCTTTCCTCACCTGTGACCTTTGCCCCCTCAGCATGTGACAGTCTCCTTCCTCTCTCCTCTATTCCAGTACTGGGGGCTGCTCCCGCCGGAGGTGGGGCGGGGGTGGGGGAGACCTTCTAGAAATGGGGGCCTGCTGCAAAGCTGTTACACTCATGCCCCCTAGGGGCCCCAGAATTGAGGGGGGAAGGCCAAGCAGCTTTAAAATTGGAAAGGGCCCAACCCCCCCCCCACCAGTGCCTTTAGGAAACCAGGGTGCCAGGCTGCCTGAGTTACAGGGGCCCTGCAAGGTTTTCTGTGACCCTTTCCTTTCCGGAGATGCTACCCCACTGAATCCACTTGCTCCCAAGAGAGATGAGAAGGTGGCATTTTACGCGGCAATGTGTGAGTCTGGGGACGATGAGTCAGCCTTGAGTCAGTCCCTTTTCCATCTCATCTCGCTGGCGGGTCTGGCCTGCCTTGACCTCCTGAGGTGGCTGTATGCACACACACACACATACCTATGTAACACACACACACATGCACACATATATGTTGTTCATTCATTCATGCGTCCATCAGTAATTTCCCTCACGGTGATGAAGAATTTAAGCCACCTTGCCTCTGTACGTGTGGGTGGAGTGGGCCAGCGTGTGTGTGTGTGTGAATACAGGTTTATGCCCACGTCAGTGTGAGCCCCGGGGAAGGTGCGTCTGCGTGCAGGTCGCGGTGGGAGTGTGGCTTGTGTGCCCACCTCAGTGTGTGCTTCTAAGTGAGGGTCGTGCCAGTGTTTAGGCTCTGCCGTCTCTTCCTTGTTGTCCTAGCGTAGCTCTGAGCACCCATCAGGAAGGTGTGAGTCAGGATTTGGTCAGTCCCCGGGGTGAGAGAAGCCCTCTGGAGCGCTCTGAGCTCTGTCTCCCGGTGCACTTGGCTGCGGGTGCGGGCGCGGGCTCCTCTCCCGACCCAGTGGGGCGAGCGCGCAGCCAGACCTCTTGGTTCAGGCCCCTGACCGGTGGCTGCCAAGGACGTTGGAACTCGGGCGGCCCACTCGGACCATCTAACTATTGGCCTGGTCCCTGCCCTCTGCTGCTGCAGAAGATTCAGCGGGGCGGGTTCAGTCAGTCGCGAGGGAGATTCCCACCCCTGCCCCCCCAGCCGGCGCTCCTAAACCCGGGCTGGCGGCGCCAACGCTGGGCTTCCGTGGCTGGGGGATCCGTGGGCTCCCGCGGGGTGGGCGGAGGGGGAGAAAGAGGGGGGTGTCTGTCGGAATGAGCGTGGCCGTTCTCGCCTGTTGGAGACCAATTTCACAAATGATTTTTGCAACAATTAAGAAGTGTGGCGGGGTGAAATGGCGATTTCACATCCAGCAGGGGAAAGGGGGGGTGGTTCACCTGGGGGCTGGGGCAGCCGCCGCTGGAAGGGGAGGGAACACTCCCCCTCCTCCCGGTTCCCTTGCTGACCCCCTGGCCCTGCTTTGCTCCCCAGCACAGGGTTAACCTCCTCCCAAGAGCCCCACTCTCTTCTGTAAGCCAGAGGGCGTCTGTTGGGCTGAAGGTGGCCAGGGAAGCGTTCCCTCCAGCCCCTCACCCCAGTCTCTCACTTTCCCTGTTTATTCCCCTCCTCTTTCGCTTTCGGCCTCTCTCACACACTTTTTGGTCCCTCCCTGCCCCCACAGTCTGTGTCACGGGCTCCTCTGTCTTTTTTCCCAGGCCCCTCTCGCTTCCTCTCGGCCTTCCTGACTTCTCCCTGGCCATCTCCTCTCCTCCTCTGCCCACTTTGTCCACCGCGTCCCCCATCGCCACGGTTTCCGGAAGTATGTGCGGTCCTCCTTGGCTCTCTGAGCCTGAGTCCTGGGAGGTGGCGGGGGCTTTGGTTAGATGGGGCTGGACAACGACCTTCGGGAAGACACCTTCCTCTGTTTGGCAGCTACCTTAAACTCTCAAAAGGAGGTTGTCCAGGCCCGGCCCAGTGTGGCTGAGCACCCCGCTCCCTGCAGAAACCACTCTCTCCTAGACGCCCTAAAGGCGTGAGCGGTTCACTACTGCCACCTTGTCTGGTCTCAGATCTCCTCCACCTTTCTTTGAAGGGCCACAACAATGCTAAAATAAGGAATCTCCCACCCCCTGCGTTCCCAAATGGAACCCTCCAACCCCAGTTAAAATGGGAAAGACAAGGCCCCAAGGGTTAGGGGCAAGACCGCAGGTTGACTTTAACTGCGGAAGTTGGTCTTTCTCTGGCTGTGAATTGATGAGACGTGTGAGATCAGTCACGGCCACCACTGGGGCTCCTTTCCCGGCCCCCAGGAGGCCAGGGGTCTCTCCCCCAGCGCAAGGGAGAGGACACTCTTTCAGATCCCTGTGCAACGAGCACCTTTTGAAGGCAATTACCCAATAAACCTTCCTTTAAAGGGTGATAAATCCACCTTGAAAACCAAGGGTTTTGATTTTGGCAGAGCCTTTTGCATTTTCAGAGGCTCCCGCCGAAGATGTCGACAAACGGAATTATTCAGTCTTCAAATGTTTGATAATGAGGGAGGTGGGGGCGGGGGAGAAATGGAATATCTGGGAACAAAGGCCCCTCCAGTGGCAGCTCGGGCTCTCTCCAGGTTCCGGAGGCCAGAATTCCTCAGGGCTGTGTTGGAAGAGGCAGCCTTGAGAAAAAACACCTTTCCCCCCACTCCCCAGCATCTTTTATTATTTTTTTCCTCTTACGAAGGAACACTCTTCTCAGAGTGACCTTGAAATATTTGCCCAAGCCCAAGGAGGAAGAAAAGGAAAACGGGGTGTTGCTGGGCTTGATGTTTTAATTTCCCCAGAAGAACAGAATGGGGCGCCTTGGATTCCAGTTCCCAAGGTAAACAACAGCAGCACACTCCTAACGAGGCTTCTCCCAGGCCCGCTGTTCCTTAGGCTTCAGGCAGCCTCCTCCTTCCTTCCTTCTTCCTGGGCCTCCGTCCTCCTCCCCCTCCTCCCGCTCTTCTTTCTCCTTGTTCTCAAGGC